CCCCCGAATCCCATGGTTCTAGCACGGTCGCTAAATTGTTATAATGGCCAAATATTTGATTTTAATACATGTTATAGATTGTGTGCTTTTATTAGGTTTAAACCGCTTTATTATTATTATTATTTATTTATTATGGAATTGCAACGTCGTGAAAATACATTTCGAACCACGTCACAATCAATGCGCCCGTGGTTGTTAATACATTCCAACTCCGTTGAGATTTGGATTTGGGTCACATAAATGAGCACCCGAATTTAAGAAGGTAATTTAATTAAATTGCGCCTAAAGAGTCTAACGCGTTATTATCTTTGGGGAAGGCAGTGAAATTAACTAAACAGCCCATCCCAAGAAATCTAAATATTTATTATGACCAATTATTGAGGGCCCCGCGATTTGCATTTTTTGTTTGGCGAGGCTCGTCTCATTTTTATTCTTTAAGGATAAAACCTAACAGTGACTACATTTCTCTATTATGTTCGTCTCTAAAATGAAAGAAGAAAATATACGCTAATTAGATTACATGCTTGGCCAAGCACCGACCTCTTATTAATTATTAGATTACAAAAGATATTAACGGAAAATTGCACTCGAATTTGTAAGGGGGGGGGGGATTATTTCATGCCTTATCCTATAATTAAACATTACCAAAAAGAAACGAAATTCAAATAAAATGTGGAATTGACAAACGCCATTGTCGAAACAAACAAATTATTCTTTAACTAATTTAGGCTCCACATTATTAGACGAATTGAAACATTGGAACTAATTATTATTTTTTCTAACAAAAAAGAAACTAATTGAAAATGAACCAACCTTGACTATCAACACATTCGAGGGTTGTTAAACTTAATCGACACTTTGAAAATCTATTACATTTAAAGAAACTCTAACAAACCTTGTTCGAAATCAACTTATGCCTATTAAACTAAACTACGTGAGTTATTAATGGATTCCCTTAAACACGAATTGAATTACGACTCACGGTCTAGGAATAAGGTATCTAATGTTGTATGAACCTGAATCGTATTAAACTATACTACGCAGATGTATTAATGCCAATTCCAAATTACGCCAGCTCAAAACAAATAAAAAAAACTAAATATAGATGAAATCGAAATTAGTCCACTACTCGACTGTTTAACTATTAATTGTAAGATAACGGATCTAAAACTAGTTAATTCTGTTGTTATAGCTTTCATTTAAACTAGTGACGTTATTAAAGTTATTGACTAAACAAAATTTAGCAAAACTAGATAGTTCATTGACAAGCCAAAACCAAATCAAATTATACAGTTTATCTTCCCAAACGGTATCGAACGAAAGTAAACTTAAATTAATTACACATCAACTAGTGTCTATTTTTGAAAACACAGATGCGGGGTAAACTACATAAGCACAAATATGAAAGCCAAAGCATGAATACTTCCATTTTCAATCTTTCAACTCAAAATTACATCACAGCTTGGTTCGAATGGGTACCTGAATTGGAAAGTGAGTAGAAGATGAAGATCAGTAGAAGCAGCAGTAGTATAGATACAACAGGTTCAGCAACACAGTGAAATCTCTGACTCAATCGAGATCAGTGACAGAAATTCCAAGCAGCAGAGGCGAGCCAAACCAAATTTCAGAATGGTTTCGAGAACCAAATAAAGTTGCAGAGATGACTCCAAACAAACCAATATGCTCAACAAAATGAATCCAGCACCCCACAAGCCAAACCCAAATGAAACAGAACAAATAGAATGACTCGCTACTAAGGTTCGAATGAGTCCAATGACTCCAAACTTCTAGTACTGGACAGAGTTTCTCCTTCGAAAACCAAAGAAACTATGTTCTGGTCTTTAAAAAAAAATATAGGAGCTAAACTTCCAATGGAGAATTGAAAACAAATTCAAAGAAGAAAAAGCAATCAAGCAGTATTTTTTTTATTTTTTTCTCTCCAGAAGCTCCCCTCCCCTTTTGGGTTCTGACCTCTCTTTTTCTGGTTTTTAACCTCTTGGTCTCTCAAAATGTTATGTCCAAACTCTCTCTCTGTTCTTTTCTCTAGTTCTTTTCTGGGTTTCCCCCTTTTATTAGAAGAAAAGAGCTCTCTTTTATAGGCAGGCTGCCCATGGCTTAAAATAAATCCTAAAGGCTGTCATTTCCACTTAGGATTGTCTAGGCATGGAGTTTCTCCTCTATTTTAATCTTCTGAAATTTAAAATGCAGTGGATATCCTATTGTACAACAGGTTTCACTACTATTCTCATATGCATTTTCAGCCTTTTATTATTAAACTCATCATACACCTGACTTCTCATCTGTAAAGATGTCAGCCAGGGTGTATTTGCACTATAGATTACTCTAATGGTTCAACCCATACTCAATTGGCAGTCCACTTTCTTAACTCTGAAATCTTCATTAAGAATTGCAGCTATAACCAATCCTTAGATGATTTTTTGATTCAACTAACAAACTACAAACAGTTATAATCAATTCTCAGTTGATTCAACAATGCCTCAGTAAACAAAATTAAACAGCATGAGTCAGATTACTACCATTCCCAACTGAAACTAATTGACGACATATATCGAATCGACTACGCGAATTACAACACATACAATCAATAACAAATGATCAAATCGAACAGTATTAACAGGTGATTCAAATTGTACTGTCAAAAACAAAGAATTGCACTGGAAACTAATTAATCGATCAAGCTCATTCCAATCGATTATATAGTTTAAACACATACACTCATCAATGAATAGACAAAAATTTCGACCAAATAAAAGGTCCGGGCGAGGTGGACAGAATAGTCGACACAAAAATGAAAACAACTCAAACTGACATTTAAACACATAAACAGACATCAACAGACAACAACATGGAACTAACAAGGAAAAGAAATTACCTTAAGAAATTGAAGGTTAGATGACCCTGTCTTGGACTCTGAATCGGACCACTTTTTGGGGTCGAACGTACTTTAATCGAAGTGTTCTTAACTGAGAACACTTCGATTAAGGTCTATTAGACCCCAACCCTTTCGTTTAATTGGACAAAACCCTCAGGTTCTGGATTTCTAGGGTTCTTGGGGTTGATTTGGGACTTAGAGTTTTCTGGTTAGATTCGAACCAAACCAAGCTTGGTTTGGTCACGAGGGAGGTCAGGGGAGTAACTGGTATAGATTTGGGGTGGTTTGGCATAGGTTGAGGTTTGGCTCGAATCTTCAAATGAAGATTCGAGACGATGGGGAAGATTTGAGACCAACGGTTTGCAGATCCGTGTCCAGGGGGTCGAGGTGTACTGGGGGTGTTAATTTGGTGGTCACCAGCATCGTTGTCGCCGGGTTTATGGTGAGGGAACGGAAGGGCGACGCTAGGGTTCATGAGGGTGTTTGGGAAAGAGACGATGNTTGATCAATCTGAGATCAACGGCCCAGATCAAGCATGATCAAAACGACGCCGTTTGGACGTTCTCTGAGGTTGGCTGGTCTGGACCGGGCAAAACAGTGCTTTGGGCCTGATTTTGGGTCCAATTCAAATGACCCAATTCCGATTTTGTCCAATTTTAAACTCATTTCTTTTCTTTTTCTATTTCTAATTAACATCTGAATTTACAAAAAATCCTAAAATAAAAATTATAAAAAATATAAAATTAAAATTATATCACCAAACATTAAATGATTTTTTAGTAATAATTAACACACAATATCATATATTAATTAAACAAAAATCAACCTTTAAACGATAAAATGACAAAATTACCAAAGATAATATTTTTGTAATTTTTCATTCATTCAAAACCAAATATGATTTAATTAATTCCTAATAGTAGAACAAGATCCTAAATTTACACGCGACATATATTTTGTATTTTTAATTGATAAAACTAAACAATCACAGACAAAAACTACAAATAATTACCAAAAAATGCCCCGCAAAATCTAAAAAATTGTACACAAAGACGCTTTGTTGTATTTTTCGATTTCTTTTGAAATAATTGTCGTATAAACAAAAATCACGTACTCACAGATATTATACACTAGAGCAATTCTCTGTCTCTACGAATGATAGAAAATATTTTTCAAACAATTTTGTAATAATCTTGTTCCTTTGATCACATCTAGGTAAATATTTATCTTCGTTTTTTTGCTGTTCTGTACGCAAATCCAATTATTTTAGTTGCTGTCATTTAAGTTCTTGCAACATATATAAGTGCTTTATTTTGAATATTGATGGTATCATGCATCAGTGCGACTACTATGTTTTTCTTGACGTTCACAGTTTCTCCATTGGTAACCAGTCTCAACAAACGATTGGCTAAACATCCGCTCGTCTTTGGTGATTTGTACCTCGAAACACACCTTAGAAAAGAAAATTGAAATTTTATTGAATGAATGAAAATAATAATTTGAGTAATAATATGATACTAGACGACTAGAGAAGAGAGAGACAGGAAAGCTAAATCGGACTGGCCGGTTGAAACGCTTACGAAAGTTTCCGACCGTTTGAGAGCCTCGCAAAACTTTCGAGAGTCCAAATTTGGTGTGAACCAATATTATGCTGGAATAAGAATATGTTATTCATTGATTAAATTATTAAAAATAGGCAATCAATCAGATTATCAGAGTCCAAATTATGAAAATAATTGCTAGACAGGAAAGAGACACTTCCTGCGCCAAAATAATAAAAAATTCCACCATTTACTCCAAATATCTTCATCAAAATCCCTCGTGTTTCACGAATATGTTACCATGGTTTATAACCATTAACCACAGGTAAAGAAACCTTTGTGTCTACTTTGTAGATCAGGGCCTGTCCACGCTCAAGTAATTGCTATTGTTTTATTCGCTTTTTTGGACTTAAGTCCGCACAAATTTATTTTTCGGGCTATGCCAATTTTAAAAGTACGTGTATCATGTGAACTTGTGTCATATCTTATAAAATTTTTAATTTTTCTTTCTCATTCCAATCTAGTATTCGCCTAAGATGACACGTGCACCACTCCTACTTGTGAGCCTAGAAAGTAAAAGGTGAATGGTATTTCGACGTGGGATTAGCCCGTCTTGCTTGACCCACCCTCCTCCAAAGCCTGATCCTATAAATGTAGCAAGAGTTTCTACACCCTTTACTCCAGTAACTCAATGGCAAGCTTACTATCTACCCAAAGCTCCCCTTTACTCACAAATGGTGCCAACAAAGAAAAAAGTCAGCAACAATATCCTGATATAATACTCTCTGAGCTTCCAAAAGAAAGAGGTTGGTTGACTGAACATGTTCACCAATACAAAGACTTTTGGTATTCCGCAGGAATACTACAAGGTCTAATATCTCTTCAGCAAAACTTTAAGCCAAAACCAAATGATGTCTTACTCGCCAGTTACCCAAAATCTGGTACCACATGGCTCAAGGCTCTTCTTTTTGCCATTACAAACCGAACAAAATATGATTATAAAACACACCCTTTGCTCTCTTCAAATCCACATGAGTTAGTACATCAGCTTGAGGCCTATGCATTTAAGCACCCAACAAATCCAACACCAAACTCTTCTCTTATGCATTCACATCTTGCCTTCAATTCTTTACCAGAGTCTATACTAGGTGGTGAAGACTCCAACTCCAAGTGCAAAATAGTGTACGTGTTTCGTGACCCAAAAGATGTGTTAGCTTCTTGCTGGCATTTTGTGCAGAAATTAAGACCCAAAGATCTGCCTATGCTTTCTCTACAAGAAGCTTTTGATCTATTTACTAAAGGGTGTTCCCCCTTTGGTCCATTTTGGGATCATGTAATAGGATATTATAAAGCAAGCTTAGAATTTCCAAAGAGTGTATTTTTCTTAAGGTATGAAGACTTGAAGAAAGATCCAATTTTTCATGCAAAGAAATTAGCAGAGTTCTTGGGTCAACCTTTTTCTTTGGAGGAAGAAAGTGAAGGCATAATAGAGAAAATAACAGAACTTTGCAGCTTTGAGAAGTTAAGTAGTTTGGAGGTGAATAAAGATGGTACACACACTGGATTTTTTATTCCTACAATTGCAAACAACATATTTTTCAGACAAGGAAAAGTAGGTGATTCCAAGAACCATCTTTCAGAGGAAATGATTAAGGTTATGGATGAAATCACAAAGCAAAAGTTGGGTTTTGATTTGATGAACACATCTTTTTCTCCCCAACAAAATGGTAAAGGGATTGAGTCGGACCAGAATCATAGCAACTAGCATGTATTTTCTTCATGGGGAAAATTTCCAATAAATTGAAGTTCCTTTTACTCCTCTTTACCTTTTTGTTTATCCCCCCCACTAGGGTAGCTTGTAGTTCATGATTGCTGCTTGGTTCTTGAATCCAATAAATGTGGCTTATTGTCAATTTGTGAATTGTGATAGGTGGCATCCTTTCTCTCTTTCCTGGTGAATCATTTTGGTCTAAGGAAAGGATTGAGGTTCTCGAATGTGAAAAAGGGGCTGTTTTTTAGCTCAAAATTTAATACCCCTTCAATTTCAATTTTTAATCTTAAATATGTTGTAACAATTATGTGGTTATAAATTTTGCAATTATGATCTTAAATAGTATTACAATATTTTATGGGACTTTTGTTAAAAGTAAAATTAGAATTCAAGGAGGAGTATGTTTACTTTTGTATTGTAAAACGGTTTCCATTCCCTTACTTTGCAAAAATACTTTTACTTTCTTATTGTTGACAGGCGAAATGAATTTGCACTGCCGACGATAATAGTGGTCTCTGAATGATTGCTCCTTGTGTCTCGTGAATATTTTGGATTGTAGCTGAACCAATTTCTGTCACAACAAATATCAAGTTGTTATAAATGTATTATATTATGGATATTCATTTAGTACTCTGTTGTAAACAAGCTTTCTGAAGAAAAATATTTATATGAGATTCCGTCGTAAATATATTTATCTATTTAGTACTCTATTGGAAATAAGCCTCCTGAAGAAGCTTATCACTTCGGTACCCGGTTATGGATAAACATTACCTTCGATAGAAGATTATTCATATCGGGTATAATAAATTTATCCTTTCGATACTCCGTTATGGATAAACATTACCCCGGTAGAAGATTATCTATACCGAGTATAATAAGCTTATCCTTTCGATATTCAATTATGGATAGAAATTACCCTGGTAGAAGATTATCCATACCAGGTATAATGAGCTTATTCTTTCAGTACTCCGTTATGGATAAACATTACCCCAGTAGAAGATTATCTATACCTGGTACAATGAGCTTATCCTTTCGTTATGGATAAACATTACCCCAGTAGAAGATTATCTATACCTGGTACAATGAGCTTATCCTTTCGTTATGGATAAACATTACTGTCAGTAGAAGATTATCCATATCTGGTATAATAGCAGCTTATACAACAACTTCCTTTCTTCTATAAATAGAATGAATTCAGTTCATTATGTAAATCAGTTTGAATTCGAATAATATATCAGTTTCTCTCTATACTTGTCTTTACTTTACAGTCTTTATTTTATAACACGTTATCAGCACGAGATTCTGCCATCTCGAGCAAATACTTTGAAAGTATCTAAGGTACGAACTTTCTTTTTCTATATAATGTCAAATCTTTCTAAACTTGAATTTGTAGCCCTGAATATATCGGGCAAAAGTTACATGTCTTGGGTGCTTGGTGCTGAAATTCATCTTGATGCGATGGATCTGGCAGACACCATCAAGGATAAAAATCAGACATCAAACCAAGACCGTGCCAAAGCAATGATATTCCTACGCCATCACCTTGATGAGGGCCTGAAAATGGAATATTTCACTATTAAAGATCTAGTCATATTGTGAAATAATTTGAAAGATAGATATGACCACCTGAATATGGTCGTCCTTCCACAGGCACGTTATGATTGGACTTATCTAAGGTTACAAGATTTTAAATCTATAAGTGAATATAATTCTGCTATGTTCAGAATTATTTCCCAATTGAAATTGTGTGGTGATAATATTACTGATCATGATATGTTGGAGAAAACTTTCACCACTTTTCATGCCTCGAATATGCTCCTGTAGCAGCAATATCGGGAGATGAGATTCAAAAGGTATTCTAAACTTATCTCGCATCTTCTTGTAGCCGAGCAACATAATGAGTTATTAATGAAAAATCATGAAAGCCAACCTACTGGTTCTTGTCCATTCCCTGAAGTGAATGAGACGAACTTCTACCAAGCTAAGCGTGAAAGAGGTCGTGGCCCCAGTCGTGGTCGGGGAAGAAATTTTAATCATAGTAATAATAATGCACCAAAGAACCCTCATCACCACCAGCAGTGGAAAAGGAAGGAACAAAAGCATGAAGCGGTGCAAGCACCAAATGCAGAAAATGCATGCTATAGATGTGGAGAAAAAGGGCACTGGTCACGTACTTGTCGTACGCTAAAACACCTGGTTGAGCTTTATCAAGTCTCCCTAAAGAAGACAGAGAAAAATGCTGAAGCAAATTTTATTTCTGAAGATAATTTAGACTTCATGCATTTGGATGTAACTGATTAACTTGCACTCCCTGATGGAGAAACAAGTCATGTGATCAGTGGTTAATCTGTAGAAATGTAAAATATTTTAATTTTTATTGTTGGTAATAGATAGTATGGTTATGTAATTATTGTACATAAATAAAAGTTATAATTTGATAATGGTGTTTACTATAATATATCTTATTTATGTCATTTTGAAGAATATGGATAACATCATTAGATCAACTTAAACTCTAGCAGAATTTGCAAGAAATATACAACCACCAGAAGTGGTCATATTTCGTATATCTCATTGTAACTATATTTTGTTAACCACCAGAAGTGGTATATGCCTATGATCACCAGAAGTGATAATTTAGGCTTTCTATGGTTATAATTGAAGATAAGCTGCATAATATTCTCTATATTAAATGCACACCTTGATTTGCTGCTAAAGCAGTAAATATTTTAAACAGAGGTTGAAGCATCACAATTTGATGTGATTAATGTGCATTCAAATAATTATGTTCGATTTCCTGAAGGATGAGAATTTTTTAATAGTACTAATCCATTCCCTGAAGTGAATGTGACAATATTAATAAGTCGGGTAAATATGAACGCGCTCTTGATGTGAATATATTACAATTCACCTCCAGAAGAGGTAATATAATTGAGAGAATATATACTCAATATTTCGTATTTTAATTCGCTCATAAAGAAGTAACACAATTGAAATTGCCCCGTGAAACAGGAAAATATTATGAAGAGGAGTTTTCGTGTGCTTAAACAATTATTTTACATTGTTTATTTGATTGTGATTTTCTCTCATGATACCAGAAGTGTCTGAGCAATATTTGATAGTACAAAATGTATCAACAACTCCTGAAGAGCTAACTGTTTGCCTAGAGGATACATGACACCAGTAGTGTCCGATAAATATTAGACTGTGGATAATAAATGAAGGCTCTCGAAGAGCTTATATACAAATATGACATTCATATTATATGATTGTGGTCAAAACATATGTTGTAGTAAACTTGAAGTTTACTAATACAAATGGTTATCATATTGAGACTACAAATGATTGGAAGATTGATAATCTTCATGTTTCCACAATCATAGGGGATAAAATAATATGTATGTGAGAAGTTACCCGCCTTATTCTTTAATTTATACTATATCATATATCACAGTAAACCAAAAGTTTACTAAAGAAAAAGTTTATGCCATAGTAAACCAGAAGTTTACTAAGATATAGCACATGCCATGATTAACTTGAAGTTTTCATTTTCCATTTTTAAATGTGCTATTTCAGAATTCAGATAAGCATATACTGAAGAACTAGAAGATTCTTCAGGAATTCTCATGTGTTGTTTTTTCTCATAATAAATTGATTATACCAGCTAAAGTTAGGACTAAGACCCCTGATTCTGAAATATATAAAAGATGAATATGGGCCCGTTCACCTATCATGTGAACAACTTATAGATGCATATATGAGATGGTTACATGTGTAATTATTGTCAACCTGGAGTTTGGCATTTGGAATTGCTTTTCTCGATTTAAGAGCATAATTTTCAGATTATGAAATCAAGACAGTTCATCTTGATAATGCTGGTTTATATCCAAGCTGGTTTATCATTGAATACCTCCTATTAATGACTAAACCATTGCTTATGAGAACAAAGATTCTTGTGTTTGTCTAAGATTTTCTAAATTGCATATAGCAGTACTTGTATGCATCAGACCAACAATATATGATAAGTCCTCCCTTCACAATTGGTTTAAGATCAGAAACCAAATATTTTTACTATCTTTTGTTGCGTGGTATATGATTAATTTCTCTACCATAATACACAAAGATATGTTTTCCAAAGATGATTGAGGATATATGTTAGTTTTTCTAACATTTGGAGGATGGAATAAACAACTGAAAAATATGCTACATGAATCGAATTATCATTAATATGATCCTCACTTAGAAGATAATTCAAGTCGAATGCCAGAAGCATTTGCTGATCCAAAATTAAATATCATATTTCAGCTGCAAATGCTCCTATTAAAATTAAAGTCCCTAAAGGATAAAGTTTACTACACGCATGAAGCGTAATAAATCGATCGGTTCCAAAGATAACAATTCTTAAAAAATGATATGAGCAAATGATCATAATGAGGAGGAAATGAGCTCTAGAAGAGCCCACGACATAACATTTCATGAAACTCCAGAAGAAGTTCAGGTACCTGAAAATAAAGAAAGTTATGAGATCTCAACAAGTTATGCTGCTTAGGAACCGATACAAAATGATCGTCGATGATATATTTGATACAATATCGTGCACAATATTGTAAAAGATTGTGAGGATCAAACCTATAGTCCAGGCACTTGGAGTTGCCATGTCATTTCAATGCAAGGCATAACCTATATGACTCATTTGATTAAGTTTATATGAAGATCCCTGAAGGATTTAAAATACCTAAAGCATATAATTCAAAGTCTCGAAAAATGTACTCGATCAAATTATAAAGATCTTTATACGGTTTAAATCAATGTGGGCGCATGTGATATAATCGCCTCAGTGAATATTTGCTGAAAGAAAGTTACATAAATTATGTTATTTGTCCATGTATTTTTATAAAGAAAATATCATCAGAATTTGTTACACTTGTTATTTATGTTGGTGACATAAATCTTATTGGAACTCCAGAAGAGCTCCAAAAGGTTCTTAAAAATGCTTTTACATGGACAAAGTGTACCCATTAAGTACACCAATGGATATTCAATCACTTGAAGTGAATAAGGATCCGTTCCAACCTCTAGAAGAGGGTGAGGAAATCATTGGTCCTGAAATACTCTATCTCGGTGTAGATGGTGCACTTATTTATCTTGCTAATGCTAACAAAAGTGGTGCAGATCGTATTGGTAATGCAGATGCAAGTTATTTATCTGATCCCCATAAAGCTCGATCTCAAACCAGTAAGCAGGGAGTGCATATGATTAAGATCAGTGATTCATTCGAGAAACATGTGGGTTGGAATGTGATAAAAGACCCACAATATTATAAGAGATAA